TCTTTGTTTTTTTATAACCCAATGAATATATTAATCAGATTTTACTATAAAACACTCGTTGAACAAATTACACCCTATTGTTATCTTATTTGTAGCGCCCAACCATCGAGTGCATCATTTTTTTGGGATGGATTGCAGATCTGGAAAAAAATGTCCTTCTACCTTGAATTTTTTTCCAGCTTTTGCAATCCATCTCAAACAATGGGGTTGATGTTGTTGTTGTTATTTCTAAAAGTTGTTGTTTTTGTTATTCCTAAAAGTTGTTGTTGTTGTTATTTCTAAAAGCTTCATTGATGGATTGCAAGTGCAGAAAAAACATTTTCCAATTTTTAGGAGAAGCACCTTATTAGAAGTTGGATGCATTCAACACATGCATATTATATACGCTACTGAATGCATCGATAATGATAGCATCAACAATAAAACTTGGATACAAAGTTCTGACACTCAAACATAAACAATTAATTTTGGATGCAAAGTTATGATGGATTGCAAGTGCAGGAAAAACCATTGAAGATATTTTTTGTAAACAATTTATTTTAATATTATCTGTAAACAATATAATATTTAAAAAATAATAATAATAACTATCACCTCGGTTTTTAAAAATAACCTAGGTGATAGTTCAAAAATAACCGAGGTGATAGTTCAAAAATATCTGAGATGATAGTTATAGAAATCACCACGTCGGTTTAAAACTTCAAATCGAGGGGTATAGTAGTCAAATTTTACTATAAAAGAAATCATTAGACTTTACCCTAATCTATGTTCATATGAACACGCCCAAACTCGCATCATTATTCACAAAACATTTTTTCTGCCCTATACTCATAAAATGGTGTTGTATTTTTTGTAGAAATATTATTGTATTTGATAGATTACAAGTGCAGAAAATTATTCACTTACACGAAGAAGAGAGATACCCCTTAGACAAAATGGAACTTAACTTTTCAGAAGATGGATATCAGCAAAACAGATCTCTAGCATCTTGTGTGTGATGTGGATATGCTATATTTTTTTATATTCTGCGAAGATTTGTTGCATACAATTGATTTTTAATATTCTAGATAAATAATGTACCATTTTTGTAAGAACACATAATCTAACCCCTCAGTTTTATTCCAAAATCGAGGAGATAGTTAAGTGTTATTTTACACTTTTTCCAAAGGCCTTAAACAAATCTTTGTCGTCTATTTGAAGGTTTTCAATGCTCAAGAATTTGTCATTAGTGATCCGCGTGAAACGTAAGGGAGATCCATTATATAAGTTAATTATATTGGAAATCTAAATGAAATATATGAAGCGCTTGATACCTAAAGACGCTTGGAAAAGTTCTCAACGACGGATTGCAAGAGAAGAAAATCATCTGGGTTCAAGGTTTCTTTTATTAAATTTTGATTTTTATCGAAAATATTTTTGATTATTAATATTCATTATCTTACCCTTTTTTCTCCAGAAACAAATGCATGCAAGATTTGTAGAGAATAATCTTGCACCCAACATATGATTTTCACCTAGATTCAATAATTCCAAGATCTGAAATCTAGGTCTTTTTGGAATTTGATTTTCAGCTAGATTCTTAGGGAATTTGATTTTAATTTTAATTTTAATATTATATATAAACAATATAATATTCTGGGTAAATAATATAATATTCTTGGTAAGAAATGTAACAATTTTTATAAAAATAAATAATCATACCCCTCGGTTATTTAATAATACGAGATAAAAGACATGCTAGTTTTGAAAATAATATAATTTTCTGCTGTTAAGGTTCGAACCCGTGCACTAATAAACTTGTACCTTCGTGTTTTAAAGACTGATGTGATAAGTCTTTACTTTTTATGAATACCTTATTTACGTCGCATCTACCACAAGTTAAAACACATTCCGCATCCGATATTAGAAGTGTTATTTGTAGTAGTGCTAATGTTGACAATACTTTTTTGAAATGATAATCTAATTATACTTAGTTGTAGCTTCAACATGATGTTAACTGCATCCCAGCACCTGCAAAAATATTCTCTACTAGTATGTAACATGTTTTTAAGTCTCCAATGATCATGCTCAACCCTATAAAACAATATTAGAGGAAAATGTAGTTAATAAATTGATTAACATTCAATTAATACTATTAAAACTTATAATGTTAAAAAAGTGTACCCGTTTGTTGTCGTGTTCTTTGTGTGAATGACTTGGTTAGTCCATGCATCAATAAATTTCTCCTTACATGGTGTCAATCATGTTTGGTGCATATAATCAACAAAGGAAAGAATATCACCACATACTAGCTCAAAATATTGCAAGTGTTGTTCATACTCAACCATCCTATTTAAATACATGACCTTGTTACATAGTTCAATCACATTCTCTTATCTATTAACCCCAACATACTCCTTGCACTTTGCATAGTTTTTTCTGCAACATATAATATTCATAAGAGGTGAAATATGGATAGGAGAACAAGTTCAGTGACATTCGTCATGGCAAGTTTCCGATCAGTCACCATGATCTTGAGAAACAACTTCTGTGATTTGAACAACTCCTCCAGCTTCTCTAGTAGTACCCATGTGAAATTTGTCTCTCTTTCATGTTCCAACTAAGTAAACCCAACAATGAAAGTCAACTTGATAGACGTAACACCTACAATCTCAAGTAGTGGTTGTTGTAACCGATTTTAAATTGAGAGTCATCACCCTTGTTTTTATTTTACTACTTTATTAGAAAATTGTACACCCCTTGCGCTACTGGACTCAGTTCAATATCTAAACTTGGGCCCCTTGCTGACCAAACCCTCCACTTTTACTGGCTTGAACAAATATTCACCCTCTTATGTTTGGGTCTGAATTCAGTATCTGAATTCAGGGTCCTACTTCCCATATCCCCTGTTTTACTAGCTCAACACAAAATACGCACCATGTGTTTTTTTAATTATTTTATTTTTATATTTTATTTATTTTTTATATTAAATTTAGTATTTTTATATTTAATATATTTAATATCTAAAATACATATTATTATTAAAAATCAAATATATTTTTTTTCTAATTCATCTAAATATTTTTATTGCATTAAAATTTTTTTTGTCATACATTAAAAATTTTTTTTACATGTTAATACATTTAAAAAATACTTAACCAACATTAAACTCTTCCTTTTTAATAGCTTAATTAATTCTAAAATAATTTTCAAAAAGGATTATGAGGATGTTTTTAAATCAATTGCGAACTACGAATTGAGACTCTGATTCTTCATAAGAGGATACGTAGGCATACAACTAAAATCGTAGCGAGTTCCCCTAATTAAAATTAAAACCCTATTTCTTAAAGATTGCGTTTCTAAACCGTAGTATCCTTGTGAACAAGGTAGATGAGGAGTGTCTAACATCTTCCCTTCGTCTAAGACCGAGTCCAACAATTTAGATTCTCTGACTAAATTAGAGTTATCCTGTATATTCTCTTCTCAAAGATAAAAATTAAGGATGACGACTCACAATTTAAAACCGATTACAACATTGTTGGTTTTATATGTGCGGTCAAAGATCAAAACCAAATAAAACATATTCAAAAACTTTAGTAAATTGGGATGTGTCCAAAATATATTAGCAATAACATATGAGTCTTCCCTATTTCTGATCCAACACATGTACTTCTCATCATGAGTTATGGTCAACAAATGTTGCATTTTCGTGAATGAACCTCTAATAGTAGATAAACATGTCGATCTTTCCTTATATATGCTTCACACTTGTCAGAGTATCAACATCCATATCTTTCTATGCAACAACTATGAATCTCACGCCATGTGGTACTTTCTCATGTCACTCACAAACTATATGTCTTTGGGTTTTAGACAATCGAATATGTCACAACCGTCTAAATTCTCAACTAGATCATGGTTGTGAGTACCACATCTATCATTTATGTTCCAACCACAACCTTTTGACACAACTCAACTTAAAAGGACATTTAACTCTTCCACTACAAGTGACTTTCAATTTTATTTTGTTCTTGTAATTTTCTCCCCTCGCACAATCAATAATCAATTTTTCGATCACGCCTCTTTGCCTATTTGTTGTATCATAACGAACAATAACAACAATAATATTGTGTTGTCTCTCAATATATTGTGCTCATGATAACACTTCGGGCAGAGAGAAAAATATCTATCAATTAAAACATAAAATAAATTACTCATAAATTTTACAACTCGATTAAAAATTTTAAAAATTAAAATAAAACATATAAGAAAACATACGAAAAAATATATAAAATTTGTTAAAAAACCATCCGTGATAGATTCACTCATGAAGAATATGTAAACAACAAATATAAAATTACTAGATTTTTGAAGAAAAAGGCAAAAATTCAGATATATAGATTTTTTAAAATATCCTATAAGACCAAAATCCACATAAATTTTTTCTAAATATTTATTAAAAACTCACACTGGATTTTTACTTCCTCTAAAAATCCAATAAAAATTCAAGTTTTCTGGAGTTTTTTTTTTTTGTTTTATTGGCTTTTTGAGAGAAATAAATTATGAGAGGGTTTTTTTTTGTTTGTTTTCTTTGGTATTAGAGAAATAAGTTATGGGTTGTTACGTAGAAATCTCCCATTTTGCGACTCTAATTAATACAGTAGTAGTTAGTTAGTATTATGCTGAGGATGAAAACAACACAACTATAGCAGTCAAAAGTGAAAACCTTGGAATTACTGTTTACAATGAGAATGGTTTTTGAGAAGAAACAATAACTACTGACAGTGCATTGAAACAACTTCCTTCGGTGTAAGCTGGTGGCTTCTCTCATCGCAGCTTCCATTCCACCGTATCGGGTAATTCTTCTCCCTCCCATTCCAACTTGTTCAAAATCCACTCATATACGAATCACAATTAGAATAATTATCATAATAATCACTTCATTAATTCATCTTTTTTCTAATCTAATTTTCCCGATTAGGTTTCTGATTTTCGGTCCAGATCGGCGTCGTTTTTGCGCCATGGAAGGTAACAAAGACGAAGCATTGAGATGCATCCGAATCGCCGAAGAAGCGATTGCTTCTGGTAACAAAGATCGCGCTCTCAAATTCATGAAAATCGCTAAACGTTTGAATCGCGATTTATCGCTTGATTCCTTGTTCACAAAGTGCGAACGGCTCCATTCTCAGTCCGCCGCCTCTTCCTCCGGCGTCGGCACCTCGGATAAACCGGGGAGAACTAGAGACGTTGGTTTGAATGTAGAGAGGACTTACACGGAGGAGAATGTTAACTTGATTAGGGAACTTAAAGGGAAAAGTGATTACTATTCGATTTTAGGTTTGGAGAAGAGTTCATCTGTTGAAGAGATTAGGAAGGCTTATAGGAAACTGTCTCTGAAGGTTCATCCTGACAAGAATAAAGCGCCGGGTTCTGAAGACGCGTTCAAGAAAGTTTCTAAGGCTTTTAAGTGTTTGAGTGATGGTGATTCTAGACGAGAGTATGATCAAGGAGGGTTGGTGGATGAATTTGATTCGAATTATAATCAGCAAAATAGTTATAGGCGGAGGAGGAGAAGGAATACTACGAGTCATGATGTTTTCGAAGAGGAATTTGATCCGAATGAGATATTTAGAGCTTTCTTTGGACAGCCTGATGTGTTTGGGAGGAGAAATCATGTTTATACGACTCGTGGAGGTGGTGGAATGGGTAATCAACATCAGAGGCGTGAGGTTCAGGGTGGAGGAGGACATTATCTTATGCTGATGATTCAGCTTCTGCCATTGTTGATCATTCTGTTGCTTGCTTACATGCCCTTTTCGGATCATGTATATTCCTTGCACAAGAATCAGTCCTACCAGATTCCAAAGGTGACGGAGGATTATGGGGTTCAGTTTTTCGTGAAATCTCAGGCGTTTGATGCTAATTATCCGATTGGTAGTTCGGCTCGAAAGACCATTGAGGATAATATTATAAAGGATTATAGGAATATGCTCCGTCGTTATTGTCAAGTGGAAATTCAGAGGCGTACTTGGAATAGGAATCTGCCTGTTCCTCACTGTGAAAAGCTTCAAAATTTTGGTGTTCTAGTTTGAAGGTAACTCATAGTAGGAATCGTCCTGTCAGTTTTATGTTGTTTAGAATTGATTGAGTGTTTTTAATGGATCAAAATGCTTTTATTTCCACCTCATTTTGTTGGGTGCTGATGTTGAACTGAAAACAGTTTTAATAAACCCTTTATCCCGTGTTATATTACTGCTCAATAAATTAATTGGCACTGTGCAGGAAGTTTCCTATAAATGAAATAGGAGAAATTGCATTTGTGCTTCCTCCCGTGCCAGATTTCTGGTATATTTATACACTGATTTATGGGATGTGGTTACTTTACTTATTATTGACATGACAGTTGTATTTGTATCCCACTAAATATTACAACTCTAATTAGGTTATGCCAGTGAAAGTGGTTGTCAAATTTAGCTTTAAATAGTGAAGTTCATTTGACAATCTAGATTTTGGAATGGTACATAGCTCAAATGAGTTTTACTTTTTATATTCACACATATGCCTACAACAACAGAATTCTCATTTCTTCATGCAGAACTAATTTGTTCATTTAAATATTAGTTAATAATTTTAATGTCATGCTCCAGTAATTTGTGTTCTGTTAGGGTACTAGGAACTCTCGGTGTATGTTAATGTTTTAGCTTTCTGTTAGGATTTTAGAAACTCTTAGGGTATGTTAATTTGGTTTCTGTTTGAATGTTAGGATACAATCATTATTCTTTAATTCTGTTTTGTAATTTTGTAGTTATGTGATTGTAATATATTTTGTATTAACCTGGTTCATTGTTCTTCACTGATGTTGATAGTTTTTGTATAATATATTTATTTCTGAACCTTTTTTGTGTATATATTGATAATTTTTTATGTATACGGCATACTCTATAACACCGCCGGCCATATATATGAAAGATTTTTTACTTGCCGCCATATATATGGGGCAACACTGGTTTAAGAGAGAGCAAGAGGTAGGGCTGAAATGGACTTCTGGCTGGGGCTAGCCTAAAAGCAAAGGGGCAGAATCGACATTATGCAAGGGGTGGGGGACCTAACACTAACTTCAAACTTAAGGGGCCAGATCCAAAATTCTCTTAGTCATTTGTACTCTTGAAAAGACAGTTAAATTGGGAAACTAGTCGGACAAGTGTATTTATGGATTTAATGGGCCAAACCGAAAGTTTATGGAAAAGAAAGAGGGCCCGGCTCAATTCCTGTCTGAGCAATACTAGAATGGGACAGCTACACTAATGATCACTCAAAGGAATTGCACAATAATTTCAGAGATATGTTTCTGATATTTTTCATTTTGTTAAACACGAGGATAAGGTCGAATTTCAGGGTGGAGGCATTTTTTGGACAGAACAGAAGAGGATGCAAAAGTAATTAGGGAAGCAAGAGGGGGGTTTATTAGTTCAAGTGATAAATGGTATGCAGGGGAAGAATGTTAATTTTGTACATTTGATAGCTAGTGAGTGAAAGCAATTATCCTTTTTTTTTCTTCGAGAAATACCTTTGGGCAGAATTATACTCTCTCTATTTATGGTTCATTTCTCAGTAATACACTTACTATATTCTTTTGATTCGTTACATCTTTGCTTCCTTACAATTTCTAGGGGTTGCTAACACCTTATTGATGAAACTTTTCCTATTTTTTTTCCGTATTGTCTTTGTTAATTTGTCATTTCAATCCTACTTTGTCATACTTTACATTCTTTAAAACTTTGTTATGATTCCTATAAAAGCCTCTCAATGAAAATTAAAAGATTAAATAAAATTCTCAAAATATATTATGAATTTAGAAAAGTGTGAAAAGAGATATTTGATCATAAGAGTAAATGGAAGACAAACAAAATAGTCATGGCATATTTCATTGGCTCTTAAGTTACAATTTTTTTCATGCATCTATTAGACTTTTAATACTGTATTGATTCAAAGTTGGTAAGTAAATATTCATCAGTGAAGTAAACAAGGTGTCACAAAAGACGAGTGTTACCATAGACAAGTAGTTACAAAGGATAGTATAAGATTTTATAAAATACAATATTAGAGAGGACATTAGTTTTTCACATAAATAGGGGGATGCAAGGGTGGACTGACCATTCTGAATTGGTTGATTTTAGAGTTAAGCATTTGCTCATTGCTGATAGAGGAAACACTTGGAAGGAGCATTCTCCAATAACAGATTCATTCTAGTTCTTTCTATCTTTCATTCTATTCTTCAACCCTGGTTGTTGGTTGACTGTAACATATTTCTTTTAGCATATTGTGCCGTTTCTCAGTTTTTTTTTTCTTCTTCTTTTGTGTGTGTGTGTTGTTCTTTCCTTGCAGCAAAAGTGACTTCATGGATGTTGTTTGCTAGTCTTGAGAAGTTCTTGTATCAGTTGCTCAGCTTTTATGATCATCTTAATTTTTCAGGATGTATAATATACTATAGGAGTAACCTTTGTCACAAGCGGAATGCTACATTAGTATCTGCCAGTCAAGTGCCATGCTGATCTTGCTGAGATGTATTTTGATAAGTATGCATAAAAAATGAGTTTCTTATTGCTGTGAGGGGATATTTGGATGTGATTTCCTATTATAAGGTTATCAACATTAGAGAAGAGTGTAACAAATAGTTGCACAAGTCATGAGTATCAGTAGTGTGGTCCTTGCAAGCTTGTGAACCGGGCTTATAGTATTCTTGAGGCAGGGTAACAATTTTTATACAGTTGAAGTATGCACATTACACTATTGAAAAAAACAAGAGAATATGTTTGAATGTGTGGATATTTTAACTCCAAAGGATTCTTTTTTTTACTGGATTGAGTTTTCCCTGCAGTCAAGGAGACACATTCAAGGCTTTAATGGTCATTCAATCAAAACCAAACTGTTTAAATATGAGTTTGATATTTTAAATTATAAAACAAAATTAATATTTATATTTGACTAAATTATCGTATTTCAATCGAACAGTTATTAAAACTTTGAATGCGGGAATGTGTGTTTATTCTGACTCTAGAGAATTTCTTTTTACCTATGTAAAAAATCAAAACCAATCGTGATTGTATGGAATGAGTCCTCACAACATTCCACTAATAAACAAACTCTCACAATTATAATGTAATGTATTTTGCTTTAACTCCCACAATTACAATTGCCACATTCATATGAATGAATACTTCATCTTCTAAGGAAGACTTAAAACTTTGAATGCTTGAATGTGTGGATATTTTAACTCCAAAGGATTTTTTTTACCGGATTGAGTTTTCCTTGCAGTCAAGGAGACACATTCAAGGCTTTAATGGTCATTCAATCAAAATTAAAATGTTTAAATATGAGTTTGATATTTTAAATTCTATAACAAAATTAATATTTATATTTGACTAAATTATTATATTTCAATCGAATAGTTATTAAAACTTTGAATGCGTGAATGTGTGTTTATTTTGACTCTAGAGAATTTCTTTTTACCGATGTAAAAAATCAAAACCAATCATGATTGTATGGAATGAGTCCTCACAACATTCCACTAATAAACAAACTCCCACAATTATAATGTAATGTATTTTGCTTTAACTCCCGCAATTACAATTGCCACATTCACATGAATGAATACTTCATCTTCTAAGGAAGACTTAAAACTTTGAATGCTTGAATGTGTGGATATTTTAACTCCAAAGGATTTTTTTTTTTTTTACTGGATTGAGTTTTCTTGCAGTCAAGGAGACACATTCAAGGCTTTAATGGTCATTCAATTACAATCAAACTGTTTAAATTTGAGTTTGATATTTTAAATTATAAAACAAAATTAATATTTATATTTGACTAAATTATCATATTTCAATCGAACAGTTATTAAAACTTTGAATGCGTGAATGTGTGTTTATTTTGACTTTAAAGAATTTCTTTTTACCTATGTAAAAAATCAAAACCAATCATGATTGTATGGAATGAGTCCTCACAACATTCCACTAATAAACAAACTCCCACAATTATAATATAATGTATTTTGCTTTAACTCCCACAATTACAATTGCCACGTTCACATGAATGAATACTTCATCTTCTAAGGAAGGCTTAAAACTTTGAATGCTTGAATGTGTGGATATTTTAACTCCAAAGGATCCTTTTTTTACTGGATTGAGTTTTCCCTGCAGTCAAGGAGACACATTCAAGGCTTTAATGGTCATTCAATCAAAATCAAACTGTTTAAATTTGAGTTTGATATTTTAAATTATAAAACAAAATTAATATTTATATTTGACTAAATTATCATATTTCAATCGAACAATTATTAAAACTTTGAATGCGTGAATGTGTGTTTATTCTGACTTTAGAGAATTTCTTTTTACCTATGTAAAAAATCAAAACCAATCATGAAATGAGTCCTCACAACATTCCACTAATAAACAAACTCCCACAATTATAATGTAATGTATTTTGCTTTAACTCCCACAATTACAATTGTCACGTTCACATGAATGAATACTTCATCTTCTAAGGAAGACTTAAAACTTTGAATGCTTGAATGTGTGGATATTTTAACTCCAAAGGATTCTTTTTTTTTTACCGGATTGAGTTTCCCCTGAAGTCAAGGAGACACATTCAAGGTTTTAGTGGTCATTCAATCAAAATCAAACAATTTAAATTTGAGTTTGATATTTTAAATTATAAAATAAAATTAATATTTATATTTGACTAAATCATCATATTTCAATCGAATAGTTATTAAAACTTTGAATGTGTGAATGTGTGATTATTCTGACTCAAGAGGATTTCTTTTTACCTATGTAAAAAATCAAAACCAACCATGATTGCATGGAATTAGTCCTCACAACATTCCACTAATAACAAACTTCCATAATTATAATATAATATATTTTGCTTTAACTCCCACAATTACAATTGCCACGTTCACATGAATGAATACTTCATCTTCTAAGGAAGATTTAAAACTTTGAATGCTTGAATGTGTGGATATTTTAACTCCAAAGGATTCTTTTTACTGGATTGAGTTTTCCTGTCAAGGAGACACATTCAAGACTTTAGTGAT